CAATATTCAATATTCTGTCCTCTGTTAAGTTAATCCAATCACTAATTGTTGATAAAACTACTGCTTCATAATATAATTTTAAAAGTTGGGCATTTTCAAACCACCTCTTTCACGTATATCTTGCATCATTTTAAGTTTTATTCTCGGTCTCTTCCCAGACCAAACAAAGTTATTAATACCTTTCTGCCATTCTTCCAAGTCTGCGTCTTTTTTAAGTATTGGTATCATTTGAAAAAGAAATAAAAACTTAGGCAAAACGTTCCATTTCTACCGCTGCTGCTGTCCTTCCCAGCAGCAGCAGCAGCAGCATCGATAGCAGCAATTATTCTCAACTCTCTGTTAGTCGGTGCTTGTTGCATGAAACTCAGCCGTGGGGATGGTTGCTCAGCCATGCATTTGGATTGGCCTTGCCTTAGTAGGATGTAGGAAACCAGACGGTCCCCCCATAAAGCATCCTTTGTGGCTTTGCCTTCTGTAGGAAACGGGGTGGCTGGGTTTGGGGGAACAAAGGCTCTATTTGCTGAGTGAAAAGAGCAAGGGCAGGCAGGCGGAGAGGCCTCCAGCCAGGGGACCTTAGGGCAGCCTTAGGAACCGAGAGTGATGCTGACCCAGGCGCTTGCCTAAGATTACTGGCTGTGACAAAGGAGAAGGAGGTCCTTCTGGCTGTCCTCATGTTCTCCATCAGGCAGGCAGAGCATTCAAATCAAATGCGGTCCAGTGTTTTGAGCCTCAGTTTCCGAGCAGCTTTTCTGTCAGTGATGCGAGTCTGTGACCTTAATTAGTGGATTAATACCTCTGGCCACTTTGTTCTTGCTCCCTGAAATTGACACGACTTCCGTCAGTTACCTGCTGAAGGCTTCTGCCTCCTTAAGCTCTAGCACATTCCTGCAATTGAAAAAGCAGGCTTTTGGATCCTGGAAAAAGTAATCTCAGATGTACTTAAGCCCAAGTCTGCCTGTCTGTCTCTCTTCCATCTCATCATTTATTTGCTACCCATTTCCCAGTTCAGTAAAACAGTTGCGTCTCCCCCCCCCCCCACATCCCCTTGTTCTCCTTTCCAGTTCTCTGTGTCCCCCTTTCTCCTCCAGATCTCCAGGAACCAACCCCAGGCTCCCCAACTGGCCGTGTCTCTCCTTCAGGAGGGGGTCCTGGGTGCCTTCTCGGGATCTGCCTCTCAGCTGCTGCGGCCAACCTTCCCCTTCTGTGGCAAGCCGAGCAGCCCCGAAAGAGCAGCCAAGTGAAGCGGCCAGCGGAACGGCAAAGGGACGGCTGCAGCGCTCTCGGCCTCAGCACCACTTGCGGGCGCAGAGCCCTATGGTCTTTGCAGCCTTCCCCCGCGGCTGGACCGCACCGACCAGACCAGCGGGACTCCTGTGGTCTCGCACGCTTCCAGGCGCTTCCAGGGAGAGAGGCGGGAGAGGCACGCGAGGGAAAACCAGAGCTCGGGCCAGACCCGCGCTAGGGGAGGGATGGATGGGGGGGGGGGCGACGTGGCTCCTCTCCCTCCCGGACTGTGGTTTGTCCTGTCCTGACTTCTAGTACGGCCAGCTGGGCGCCCTCAGGAAGGGGAAGAGCTCGCAGGAAAAGTAATTACGCAAAATCAATACTTCATCACAGCTCGGCATCCTGAGCCGGCAGCCCCCCCCACCCCCCCCTCAGCGCCCTCCCCGCCCAAAGCTGCCCGAGCCTCTTATTTGGGCTGCGGCTGGAGAGGGCCGGGCCGGGACTGGACGGCAGGAAGAGAGCGGTTCCCTCTGTGCGGTTCCCGCGCCAGGGCCGGAGGGGAGGCGGACGCCTCGGCGGGGAGCGAAGCTTTCCATGCAGCGACGCCGTTTGACTCGCCTCGGGGCTCCTTGAGGAGGGGAGTGGGGAGTCCCGCAGGCGCTGAGCGACAAGGGCAGCCCGGCGCTCGGCTCCGACGCCAGGAGACCTCCGCGGCCTTCCCGCTCCCCACTCGGGGCTCTCCGCAAGCTGGCCGAGAGCTCGGCGGCGGCGGCGGCGGCGGCGGCGCCACCTTAAGAGGGAGCCCCGCCCCGCCGGGCCGCTCATTGGCGCAGCTCTAATGGCTGGACGGCATCGCTGAAATGCAAAACTTGTTGCTGCTTCCCCGGCGCGCGGCGAGAGCAGAGCCAGGAGCCGCCAGCCAGCCAGCCAGCCCAGGAAGCGGCGCCCCGGCCGCGCAGCCCGGGAAAGGTGGCCAAGCCCGGCGGGGTCTCCCCTGCCGCCACTCCGGCGCCGGACGGCAGCCGCCGCGCAAGATGTGAGTTGGGCGGGCGGCGGCGGCGGCGGCGGCCGAGCTCTTCCCTGCCTGCCAGCCAGCCGGTGGCGCGGACTCTCTCGGCCGGCCGGGATGCCTCGTTGAGAATCTAGTCAGCCGGGACTGGAGCGACGGAGTCGCCGTCAGCGGCGGGATGTTCGCGCTGGATCCGTTCGACCCCCACGGCGGCGGCGGCGGCGGCGGCGGCTCAGGCAGGAGCGGGGTGCCGGGCGAGCGGGGCGGCGGCTTTGGGCCGGGCGCGGGCTCCCAGTTCAAGCCGTCGCCCTTTCACGGCGGGAGTAGCGGCGGCGGCGGCGAAGCGGCGGCCGTCAACGCCCTGGGCGAACCCTCTCCGGCCCTGCTGGGCATGAACCTCACTTTGTCCGGGGATGGCTACGGCGGCTTCCACGCCCCCCGCGGCGGCCCTCCGGAGTTGGGACAGGCCCAGCCCATCCACGGATTCTTCGGCAGCCCACCGCCTGGCCCGGCCGCGCACCACCAGACTCAACCGCCGGTCTCGCACTTCGGCGGCGGCGGCGGCGGCTTCGGGCCCGAACCCAGCGCCTCCTGCCTGCACGGCGACCGCCTCCTTGGCTATTCGGGAGCCCAGCAGACGTTCGCGGCGGGCGGCGGCTACGAGCAGCACCTGGCGGACGGCCAGGCGGGAGGGGATGGCTTCGGACAGCAGAGGGCGGGACCCCTCCAGGACTTCCAGCCGCCGCCGCCGCCGCCGCATCATCTTCACAATCCCGGCGTGCCAGCCCCGTGCCTGCCGCTCGACCAGTCGCCTAATCGCGCTGCCTCCTTCCACGGCCTGCCGGGAGCCGCCTCCTCAGAACCGCACGGCCTGGACTCGCAGAGGCGCCTGCCCAGCCAAGGGGCGGCCGCGGTGGAGGCCCTGGAATACAGTTACCCCAACAGCGAGAGCCATTTCGACTTGCCCGTTTTCTCGTCGTCGGAGGCCGAGGGGCAGCTGCCGCAGTACGCGTCCGGACGACCGGCGGCTCAGCCGGGAGGCGGCAATTTCCCCGGACACTCCGCGGCCTTGCCCCGGGCGCCGGGCTCCCTGGGGAAGGTGCCCGCCCAACAGTCCCCTCACGGCGTCTTCTTCGATCGCTTCGGCGGCGCTCGCAAAATGGCCCTGGGGCTGGAGCCGGGCCTGGGCGCCGGGAGGCACCACCTGGTTCAGCAGCCACCGCCGCCCCCGGCGCTCCTGGCCAGGCAGAATTCCTGCCCGCCGGCGCTGCCGCGGCCCCAGCCGTGTCCAGAGGGAAGCGCCGCCAACGGCAACCTGCAGGACGGGGGCGGCGGCGGGCCGATTTTGCAGGCGCAGCACGGCCAGTTCGAGTATCCCATCCACCGGCTGGAGAACCGGGGCCTGCAGCATCACCCGCACCTCCCGCAGCAGCAGCAGCAGCAGCAGCATCCCCCCTACGGCTCGGGAGAGCCGCTTTTCAACGTGCCCCACCAGCCCCAGCAGCCGCCCAACCAGCGACTGCAGCACTTCGACGCGGCCCCCTACGTGAACCTCCCCAAGAGGCCCCGTTTCGATTCGTGGAGCGGCGGCGGGGGAGGCATGCACGGGGCGGCCGCCTTGGAGAGTCATCTGTCGCCCTCCGCCGCCTATCCTGGCCTGCCGGGGGACTTCACGCCGCCGGTGCCCGAGCATTTTCCACCGCCGCCGGGTTCGGATCCCCAGACGGCTCTGCAGCAGCGCCAGAACGCGGCGCTGATGATCAAGCAGATGGCGGCCACCCGCGGCCAGTCTCAGCGCCTCCGTCCGCCCGGCCTGCAGCAGGTCGGCCACCACCAGCACCCTCACGCCGGCGGCGGCCACGCCCATCACCAGTCCCCGCACCAGCACCCGGGCGAAGCCGCCTTCGAGGCGCAGGAAGGCGCTTGGTTCCCGCCGCCCCATCCTCCGGCGGGGAGCGGAGATTTGCTGTTCCGACCGGGAATGGGCGGGTTGCAGGAGCCGCCGCCGCCCCCGCCCGCCCTGCGGATGTCCTCCGGGGGCGAAGGACACGTCCCCTCGCCAGGCGGCCTGCAAAGTCAGTTCGGCTTGAGCCCCCCGTCGGAGCGGCGGCCGAGCCACCCCGACTTCGCAGCGCAGGCGCAGAGCTTTCCTTTTGGGGCGCCCAGCCGCCAGGCCACGCCGCACAGCGCCTCGCCCGGGTCCTTTGGGCCGCCGACGGACTTCCAGAGCTCTGCGCCGCCCCCGTCGCAGCCCCGGCCCTCCCCGGCCAGCAGCAAGCTGAGCGCGCTCTCGCTCGGCTCTTTCCCCAAAGGGGGCGTCGGGGCGCCGCCCGGGGGCCCGGGCCCCAAGGAGAGCAGCGGCCTCTTCGGACAGAGTTGCCTGGCGGCGCTCTCCACCGCCTGCCAGAACATGATCGCCAGCCTGGGCGCGCCCAACCTCAACGTCACCTTCGGCAAGAAGGGCGCGCCCGCGGCGGTGGGCGGTGGGTCCGGCGGGGAGGGCGTCAAGCGGAGCAAGCTGAGCCCCGCAGAGTCTCCCGAGACAAACGGCGCAGGGCCCCAGCCGTCCCTCCCGGCCGCCACGGTTCCTGCGGGCGAAAGCGGCCTCTCTCCCAATTACTCTCCTGGATCGGGCCCCGAGGCCAAAGCGGGAAACGGACGAGGCCGGGGACGCAGGAAACGAGACAGCGGCCACGTCAGCCCAGCCGCCGGGACGACTGGCGCCGCGGGCGGCTTCTTTGAGAAATATGGCCCGACGGCGAGCGTAGAGAGCGGCAGCCCCGGACAAGGCGGGGAACGAAGCGGCGGCGGCACCCCTCATCTTCACGAACCCCCCAAGGCGTTGAGTTCCCCGCCTTCTTCCTGGGCCAAGGGCGGCGGCGGCGACCTCCTCCTCCAGCCTCCTCCAGACAAGCCCGATCTCCTTCCCTCCCTGGACCAGGCGGAATCCTGCTCTCCGCGCGGTGGCGGCGGCGACTTCCCCGGCGAGGCGGAAAACGAGGACGAGGTGTCTTCCAGCTCCGACAACCAGGCGGCCAAAGGGTGTCCCGCCGGGCGCAGCCCGCTTCAGCCGCCCGGCCGCCCGGCCGACCACCCGCTCCTGAATGGACAGAAGGCGTCGGCCCTGGCTCAGCTGGGCCTCCACGGCGGCACCGCTACCTCCAGCCCCGAGAGCTACGGCGCCGGCCCCACCGGCCCGGTGCAGGAGGAGATTCACCCGCTGGAGATCCTGCAGGCGCAGATCCAGCTGCAGCGGCAGCAGTTCAGCATCTCCGAGGACCAGCCGCTGGGCCTCCAAAGCGCCAAGAAGGGCCCCGAAGGCTCGGGCGGGGGCCAGAACGGCGACAGCGGCGAGCTGAGCAGCTGTTGCGAGGGTGCCGGGGCCAAGGGCGCGGTGAGCACCATCGACCTGGACTCCTTGATGGCCGAGCACTCCGCCGCGTGGTACCTGCCCGGAGACAAAGCCCTCCTGGACGGGGAGCCCGACGAGAAGGTCCTGGTGCCTTGGGAGAAAGCGAAGGCACCCACGCCCGGCAAGGAAGGTAGGGGCGTCCGCCGCCGCGCTCCGCTAGGGCCAAGCGTTACTCAAGGACCCGGCTTCCCCTGGGCGCACACAAACCCTTTATGTAGGGAATGAGGCTAGAGCCCCCACCCGAACCCCGGGCCCGAGGAGGGAAAAGTGGCGCACACGGGCTGCCGCGTGAACATTCAGGACGAAGCCCCCTGCGCAGGAGCGGCGCTTCCGTAGAAGCCGCGGTCTGGGCTGTCCCGCTCCCCGGGAGGGAAAGAGAAGGTCTTGGGAAGCAGGAGGACCTTTTGCCCCATTTCACCTTCCCAGGATTTCGCGCAACACAAAGACTTCGCGGAGCTTGGTGCGGGGTGGGGAGACTTTCAAGGCAAGTAGGATATTTTAGAGAGCCTTAAAGACATCGGGGGTCTCTTTGGTTGGTCCACTAGGGACCCGCGAGCGGAGTCGGTGCGGTTGCAGCCTCTGAGAAGGCGCGCATTCTGCCGGATGGGATGCAAGGAACTTCCCTGGCAAGCCCCCCCCCCCCGGAGGAAAGAGAGGATGCCTAGGAGGGGTGGTGGTGGACCCGTCTCCATGGGAGGCGGGGGCTCCTTTCCCGGACAGCCTCCCTTGCATTTTCTTTCATTGACACCAGATCTGACCGGATCAATAGTTTATTAGTGCCAATGGCAGCTCCCATCCCCCGCACCTTGCAGGCTTTTCCTTTGGGGGAGCAGGAAAGTTTCCACTTTGGCACCTGAGGTCGGTCTGGTTCAGGAGACCCAAGAGGGACACACACACACACCCCCCCAGCTGGTGGCTTGGTTGCGCCTGTTCTTTGGGGCTGGGAGTGCAGGAACTTCTGGGGCTGGGAGAAAGGAGAGATCAGAGAGGCAGAGTTGAAAGTTGCATTTCAGCACCCTGGAGCTTTTCAGAGGGGAGGAAAGTGATGCAGCCACTTAATGCTGATAGTTTCTCCAAGGTCACCAAAAGGGAAAAGGAAATGGTTGCATATTCCTTTCTCTGAGTTATTCTGCTCAGCTATATATATTCTGCTCTCCTTTTAGGTAACTTTTTGAAATTGAAATTGGCTGGTTCTGATTTGAACAACATGTGGGGTGCGAGCGGTGTGATCCGATGTGACCCCATCCGTGGAATCCTCTTTCCTGTGGAGTAATTTCATGGGGTGGTCCCCAAGTTGTTTAGGAGATCCCTGGCTCTCTTTCCACAAGTGACCCAGGGGGATCTCTCTTTCCTGTGGTTCTGCTCACACTGAGCTGTACCATAAACAGAGCAAGAGTTACTTCTGGATAAATGTGCCAAGACCCGCACGGCTATAGAATAAGGGTTGAAGGGGTTCCCATGGGGAAGGGGCTCTCGGGGTTGAGCTGTTTCCCGGCACTTGGACTCTGAAATCAATGTGTTTCCTCAGCGATTGCAGAGAGAGAATTGCGGGTGGGCACCCTCCTCCCCCCCTTTCTCTGTCCTTTGAGAGGGGCAGAGGGTCCCCAAGGGGCTGCTCCGTAGCAGCCTCCTGCAACCTGCAGCAGCAGCAGCAGCAGCAAATGCCTTTGGTGGCTGAAAGGCAAAAGGTGGGAGGCTGTGGTCCAGCTCCTGTCCTCCTTCCTGGGCTATTCCAGGATGCTGGTTTGGTTACCTGTCACAGAACTCATAAATCTGTCAGTGGAAGAAGCTGCCGCATGGGATGGTGTGAACCTCAACATTCATGGAAGAACTGCTTCAACGTGAAATGTTGATCTGGCCACACCAGGCTTTTCTGTCTCTACCGGCTCTTCCCGCATTCTGCGTCTTTGGTGCTTTTTAAGCTGCTGACGGGCTGTGAGGTGGAAGTCTTAAACGGCTGGTTTTGAAATACCTCTGGTTGGAATTTGAAAGATGGGGAAAGCGTGGAAATTGCTTTCTGGCATCAAATGTGGGCTGGAAATCCGTTAGAGGCGGTAGGTGTTTGTTCCTCTAGCAGCCCCCCTTGTCCCTCTGGCGCAAGAGGCTCCTTGCCGGCCTTCATCCTGGCCTGAAGACCTGGGATGCATAAGGCAAAGTACCCAGAACCAAGGATAGGAAAGTGGCCCATCGCTGCTGGGCTTCAGGACAAAGGCTTTTAAGGCAAATGAGCCTTTACCAGCTGAGCAGAGCCCAGGCTGCCTCCTTCACAGGCATTTTCAGGAAAGTGTCTTCCGATCTTCAGTCGTCTTTCTGAATGCCTCTGAGGCTAAAGTTCCCCTATCGGTTGCCATTAAAGGCTGGGGCTGGGTAGACCAAATGCTGCTTAAGCTGTTTGTTATCCCTTTTATTCATCCCCACAAAAGCAAACCAGTCCTAACATTTGTAGGGAATCCCACCTGGTATCCTTTGCACATGGAATGGAGACAGGTGTAAGTGCTGAGCCCCCGTAGCTTTGTGGGCTGACCCTTTGTGGCCCTTGTGGAATGTTATGCCGGGCTGACTCGTACCCTCCTGTATGGTCGTAAGTCTTTGCAGTTGATAAGTTTACTTTTTATTCTCTTAAATGGTACCTGTGCTTTTGTATTCTCATGCATTTTTAAAATTAATCCTGTTGGTTGTGGTCAATGTTCCAGTTTGGAACTGTGTATTTTAGAACACAAAAATTAGATATCATTTAATATTTCAAAATTGGCTTATAGAATTAAATATATTTATTAAATATATTTTCCTTTGTTTTATCTTCTGCTGTAATTTCTTATTCTTTTTTCCTGTGCTTTGTATAGTGTTTCTTAGCCAGGAAGGCAGGAACATCATCCATAAATTCCATGAGTTTATTTATTTATTTCATAAATAAACTTCCTAAGCAGTAAAAGAAAATAATTGCACAATGCTAATGGAGGGACTCAAGAGTTGCAAAGGTGGCTTTTGTATAAACAGACAAAACCCCTCCTTAAACCATCCCGGAACGCAGTCTTGCTTTTCTTGAATGTCTTTAGATAGCTGTGCCTGAAGACTCTCCGCGTTGCAGATACACGTAGGGAGCCACGCAGCCTCATCGCAGGGGAATTTGCAGTTGCACACATGACAAACCCTTTCACAAACAGTGTTGTTTTGTCAACTCAACCTGGATGTCTGAGAATCTTCATGGACAATTCTTGCTGCTGTTGTGGGGTTGATTGAATATCTCTCCGATGGTGGGTAGCCTCCCTCGGCCCTGGGCCCGGGTCTAGGCGGAAGCACAGCGTGGGTCTTTTGGCCTGCGGTTGTTGGCTTGGGAATAGGAAACTGTTCTTTGCTTCTCCAACCAGAGAGGGAGAAATTGCCTGCCGTCTCTAGTTGGCCATTGAGGGCCTCCTTCTCTAGGTCTATGCAGCCTGAATTTGAGTTTAAGATAAGAAAACCCGAGTCTCGGAAGGTTCCTTTGAACAGCAAAGTGGAAGGAAACAGGATGGCTTTTCATCTTTTTAAATCAAGCATCAGTTTTGGGCATAAGAATTGGAAAGGAATGTCAAAAATCCCCCTGAGCAACAAAGTGCTAGTCAACACCTGGTCCTGGACTACAGTTTGGGGTTAAAGACGAGAGGGCCTCCTGGCCCGTCTTCTTAATGGCAGGTCCCCGAGAGGCAGCCTTGGGGAATATCCAAGGGAGACACAGCAGCAAAAAGGCCACGGGCCTTGAGCCGTCTGTCTGTCTGTCTGTCTGTCTGTCTGTCTGTCTGTCTGTCTCTCTGTCTCTCTCTCTC